CCAAAACAGCCGCCCTGACCGACGAGCGCATACGGCTAATGAACGAGTTAATACCCGCGATGAGAGTGATCAAGATGTATGTGTGGGAAAAGCCATTTTCTCGACTGGTGGAGCTGGCCCGGCATCGAGAAATGACCCAGATCAAACGCATAGCGCTGCTCAGGGCTGTGAATATGGCCCTGTATTTTGTGTCGGGCAAATTGTTGGCATTTTTATGTCTAGTGGCGTTTGTATTGAATGGGGGTACTATTACGGCGCCCCTGGTGTTTGTGACAATCACCTTGTTCAATAACGCCCGCACCAGTCTTACGCTGTATTTTCCCAATGGTGTGGCCCAGGGCTCAGAGGCCTTGGTCTCCATTAAGCGCCTGCAAGTAATTCAGTGCATAATTATGTTATTTATTTATATTTTTAATAAATACAATATTAGGGTTTTTTGTTTAATTTTTACATTTTTAGGAGTTTTTACTGTTGGAGGAAAAAGAGCTCAATTTAAAGTATATCGACAAATATGAGACTAGTAGTGATGGCACGGATGTGGTGGGCGTCTGGTTGGACGCCGTGACCGCCTCCTGGGCTCTCGACCAGCACTCGGAGCCTACACTTCATGACATATCGTTTAGCGTAAGCGCCGGACAACTTATCGCTATTGTCGGTATAATTCAAACACAAACAAAACACTGTAAAATGTATAGTAATGTGTTTATAACACATTCAAACAACTCTACCTACAGGTGCTGTCGGGTCCGGTAAAAGTTCACTACTGCTGAGTGTATTGACCGAAATGCCTGTCCTGTCGGGCAACTTGAAAGTGAGAGGCAAAATATCGTACGCCAGGTCTGTTACCACGTTTATTCAATGTACCATGTTAAATAATTAGTAGTTACTATAACGAGCCAACACATCCATAGCCAACAGTCGTGGTCTTTCTCCGGTACGGTTCGGGAGAACGTCCTCTTCGGCGGTGTTTATAATGAGGAGAAATACCGGAAAGTACTACACGTTTGCGCCCTTCAAAAAGACTTGCAATTATTTCCAAACGGTCTGTAATTATATGTAATAATTAATTATTAAATTATTATTGTTTTTGTTAATTAATAATTACAATAATAGCGTAAATTTGTTGCAAATTAGGCGACGCGACAGTAGTGGGCGAAAGGGGTGTATCATTAAGTGGTGGCCAAAAGGCGCGCATCAACTTAGCCCGAGCTCTGTATAGGGAGGCAGACATTTATTTATTAGACGACCCGCTCAGGTATACAGTCATAAAACCACACCTAAAACATTATGTCATAACAAACTATGCTTTGACTACCAGTACCGTCGACACAGCCGTCGCCAAACATATCTACGAGAAGTGCATCCGAGGCTATCTGCGGGACAAAACGGTACTTCTGGTCACGCATCAGCTTCAGTACATCGCTGACGCCCAGCAGATAGTTGTTCTTCGGGAGGGCCGGCAACAAGCGATCGGCACATACCAAGAATTAGTGAATTTGGGCATTGATTTTATCAATACATGCGGCGAGAAAAAGGAGGACAAGTGTTTGGACACTACAAAAGTGGCCAAAAATAACCCAAAACGTCAGGTGTCGGGCACCGGATGTGAGCACACGGCACAGGGCGACTACGAGCTCCGGGAGGACAACCACATAGTCGGCGAAAAGCCACAAATCAACGCTTCCGGCGGCGAACAGCAAACCATGGGTTCAGTAACGGCCGGTGTGTATTGGTTGTACGCGCGGTCAGGCGCCGGTATACTTACCCTAACCATCATTATCGGGGCCAACGTCTTAACCCAACTGCTATTCAATGGCAGCGATTACTTGTTGTCCCTCTGGACGGACAGCGAACAGCACCTGTACCAACACGAGTGGGTACGTGGGCTCTCGCGGCGGGCGATGATCATCACGTTTGGCGCCCTAATGGCCGGTCTATTGACCGTATCGCTGATCCGTACGGCGCTATTCTTCAGCTCATGTATGGGAGCGTCGGTTACTTTACACAACCGGCTGTTCAATAGCCTAATGCGGGCGCCGATAGCCTTCATCGACGACCGACCCATTGGTGTCCTATTGAACCGATTCGCGCGCGATATGGGACTCGTTGACGACCTCTTACCGGTGACCGCTTTTGACGCCCTCCAGATCGGTGTCCAACTGGTGGGTGCGGTGGCAATCACCGCGTGGGTAGCGCCGATAACTCTGGCCCCGACAGCCGCGTTGGCCGTCATTTTCCACGTTTTGCGCCGGTATTACATACCCAGCGCTCGAGCTGTGAAACGGCTGGAGGCCAGCGCCCGGTCGCCCTTATACTCGCAACTGTCGAACACAATGCACGGGTTGGCGACTGTGCGAGGGTTCGGCACCGAGACTACCTGTGCCGACACGTTTGATGGTCTGCAGGACCGGCACACCGGCGCCTGGTTTATGTTTCTGTCGGCCATCCGCTGGTTTGGCATCGCTCTGGACGTGTTGTGTTGGCTATACGTGGGCTCAGTCACCGGCTATATGACAGCCCAGTCGGACAACCCGTCGATGACGGCCAGCGCCGTCGGGCTGACAGTGTCCACAGCCCTGTCGTTGTCGGGTGTATTCCAGTGGGGGGTCCGCCAGTCGGCCGAACTCGAGAGCCAAATGACATCAGTCGAGAGGGTCGACGAGTACAGTCACGTCGCGCCGGAGCCGAACCTGGAGACCGGGCTCGACGTGCGGCCACTGCCCGAAGGCTGGCCCCGGGAGGGAGTCATAGAATTCAGGGACGTTACCCTAAAGTATAGCCCATCGGACCCACCGGTGCTCAAAAATTTAAACGTTTGCATTAATAGCGGAGAGAAAGTGGGTATAGTTGGCCGCACGGGCGCCGGCAAGTCATCGCTAATCGCCGCTCTCTTCCGACTGACCCCTCCCACCGCCGGTGCGGTACTTATTGACGGCGTGGACACCGGGGCTGTGAGTTTGGCTGATTTAAGGGGCGGGTTGTCTATCATACCCCAAGACCCGGTGCTGTTCGCCGGCACTGTGCGGCTCAATATGGATCCGTCCGGCGATTACGGAGACAACCGTTTGTGGGAAGCATTAGATGCCGTGTGTTTAAAAGAGCGGGTGATGTTAATGGCCGGCGCTCTGGACGCCCGGGTGTCCGAAGGGGGCGACAATTTTAGTGTCGGTCAGCGCCAGTTGCTATGTCTGGCCCGGGCTTTACTCCGACACAATCGTATACTAGTGTTGGACGAGCCGACCGCTAATGTAGACCCCGGGTATGTATTGTGTTAAAAATTAAGTTGTGTGTATAAGCAATGACGGTGCATCTTAAATTTTAAACAACCAATATAAAACTAGTTTATTTATTTATTTTCAAATAATGAAATTATTGTGTAATGTTTGATTAATAATAGGACAGACGAATTGATCCAGGCCACAATTAGGAACAGGTTTGCTGCGTGCACAGTCTTAATTATAGCTCACCGGTTGCACACTATTATGGACTCGGATCGGGTACTGGTGCTCGACTCGGGCCATGCGGTCGAGTTTGACGAGCCGTACGCTTTGTTGGCCGACGAGAGCGGACTATTTTCGGGTTTGGTTCGCACGACCGGCACAGGTATGGCTCGGAAACTGACAGAAATGGCAAAAATAGCTTATAATAAACGTCATAATATGGACACTGATGTGTCCGACAGCGAGCGGCCACTATCTTATGACTTTGAGGCTGGCATTGAAACGAACGATGAGTGTATCACATAATGTCTGTAATTTTATATACAAGTAATTAATAAATACAACAATGTAATATTTATAAGAATCATTAATAATTATTCAATTCGGTAGCCTATTTGCTTTGAAAAAAATTATGTGAATAAATATTAAAATATCCATTTGTGATTTTAAAATATGATGATGATTTTAAGTTTCAATTTTATTTTGGTATTGAAAAATTAGTTTTGTTTTTGAAAAGCTAAGCTCACATTTCAATCACTAATATCCATATAAAAATAACCCTAATCTATTACAAGTGATAAAATACATGGTATTTATCAATTTATTGTAAAACAAATATTATATTTTAGCTACTTATGATTATATTAAAATAAAATTATATTATATATTTACAATAATGTTTTAGTTTCTCTAACTCGTAAGCATAAGTTATAATTCTTTAATTATTTCAATAGCTAATAACAATTGAAAATTAATAATTTATTAAATTAACATTGCTGCAATACAATGGCAATTTATACAACTAAAACTGTGGTAATATGGAGCACGTGCATATTTCTGACCTCGTGGGTGTGGCAATGGATGTATTTATATCAGGAGGCAATGTCTGAACAGCACTACACGATGGCATCGGCGCCATTAGAGTGCGTGAACGTGATTAATGAACAGGCGCTCACATTTACTAACATGGTGAGAGGGCTGTTTGGATCGGCCATCTCGCTGGACAGACAATGTCAGCAATACTTCAAAGCGATCATGGTGAACCCCATCTACAAAGTAAACCCCATGGTTGCGCTGTCCCACATGCTTTCATCAATCATATTTAGACCGCTTAGAGTATTGGGCAACGAGCTAGGTCATGGCGTGGCCAACTTGTTATATAATCTAAGTTTTGTCGACAAAATTATCGTGGCCATTGTAATTACAATAATTGTTGTAGCAGTTATATGGTTGATCAGGCACCGCGTGAATGCTCATGGTCAAACAGGTGTATTTAATCAAAAAGTGAGATATACTGAATAGTCATAGTAAATTATTTTTAGAAACTCAATTCAGCATGTACAACTATTTGTATAACAAAAAATACCTTAATGAATTTATGTATGTTTCAGGTATTAAATCAAGAATTGGTTAAAGATATTCACTTGAATGACAGTTCAAAAACTACAATAATTAATAAATTCGCAAAAATTAACCAAGCAATGACTTTTCAGCAAAATTTAATGTACCATGGCTACTTACTTCACATGGCTATTAACCAGAATTTATGCAATCTGAGCAACACAGCTAACATGGCTTTTCGCCAGAACTTAAGCAACCAATGCAATACAGCTAAAAGTACATTGCAACAGAATTTAATCAACCATGGTTATACAATTCAAACGGCTATTAACCAGAACACAAGCAAAGTGGGCAACACAACAATAATGGCTTTTCACCAGCATTTAATTAAACACGGTCACACTATTCAAATGGCTATCAACCAGAACTAAAACAAACAACAAGCACAAATAAAAATGTTCAGATTTTTACCAAAACCCGTACAAACAGCGGGATTTACCTAGAAAAGCTTTTTGCTAAAATAACACATATTTTAATTAAAAACTAGATTTGTAGTAATTGTATTTTAAAGTAAAAAATAACTATTTGTTTGTCAATTGCTATCACAATTTTAAAAGCGGTATACTTTATGAGATATTCTCAACACGTATAATAGGATAAAACTTATATAACATGGTTATAATACTTTTTTGAAATATCAATATAAAGGAAATAATAATAATTTATTACATACTGTATGATAAAATGCATGGTAATTATCAAATTTATTGCAGAATGAATATTATATTTTAGCCACGTGTGATAATAAATTAGATTTACAATAATGATTTAGTTTTGTCTCGGCATATAATGTATTAAAAATATTAATTTTATAAATTAATTAACCTAATAATTTATTAAATTAACATTGCTGCAAATAAAATGGCAATTTATTCAATTAAAACTCTGGTCATATTAAGCATGGGCACATTTCTGATCTCATGGGTGTGGCAATGGATGTATTTATATCAGGAGGCAATGTCTGAACAGCACTACACGATGGCATCGGCGCCATTAGAGTGCGTGAAAGTGATTAATGAACAGGCGCTCACATTTACCAACATGATGCGAGGGCTGTCCGGTTGGACCATCTCGCTGGACAAACACTGTCAACAATATTTCAAAACGACCATGGTCAACCCCATCTACAAAGTAAACCCCATGGTTGCGCTGACCCACTTGGTATCGTCGGCCGCGTTTAGGCCAATCAGAGTATTGGGCAACGAGCTAGGTCATGGCGTGGCCAACCTGTTCAATCGTATCGCTTGGGCCGACAAAATGCTCGCGACCAGTGCCATAATTGTAATCATTGTGGCATCTGTATGGATCGTTGTACAGCGTGGGATTATGCCTGCTCAAATAAGATGGCCAAATTCTAGCAAGGTGAGAAATAGACGGCGTGCTGGATTAAGTAGCGGACAGAAAACGAGATTAGCAAGCGTCAAATTGGTATCATTAAAACAAAGACCTGACTAGAAATCGTAATTTGTTCTAGATAATGTCTATGGAAAATGTTTGTATGGCATAAATTTAATGATTAAATTTTTATTACTAAATTATTAGTATTTTTAACCACAATTCATTTATGAAGATTGTCAAATAAAATTTTAATTTTTGCAAAAATATTTAAATTATTTTAAAATACATATAATCATAAATTATAATTATTTTAAAACATAAAATTATGTTAAGCATTCATTGTAATAGTAAATAATGAATATTTTTGAACATATACATTTTATATTAATTAAATTCTATGCATTAAAATATTTATACTGATAAACTAAATGCAAACCTAATTTATGATAATTTATATGGTAATTATCAATAATATCTCTTACTATTAATTATTTAATAGACAAATAAAAAAAATAAAATTTTTTTGATCAGAGATAAGCTATGGACTGCCAACGCTAGAGAGTCAGTCAAGTGTGAAGTTGCATTTCACTCATAATATTGAAATGTAAATACATTGAATGACCACTCATTAGGGATTTTGAGCTAATATTTCGAGCTATAAATAAGTTATTATTGGCTAGTTGCAATTAAGATATTATTTATTAGCCACGTATATTAGAAGTATATTAAAATAAAATAATTAATGCAAAGCTTTACAATATTGTCAGCAAACAAATGTTTCATTCTCTTTGTTACTGTAATAATTTAATAAAGTAATATTGGACTGATAAAACCAATCAATATTATAAAATGCTATATTAATATTATAATACCTTTGTGATTAATTAAACTTCTGCCAAGTTATGGCAGTTAATTCAGTTAAACATATCATACTATACGCATTTATTGTATCATGGGCGTGGCATTGGATGTTATTGTACAATGAAGTTTTGTCAGACCAGCACCACATAATATCGTGGGCGCCATCCGAGTGTGTATATACCCCTAACCCCCACCCCTCCTTTCTATTACTACAATAGCAAATAAGTATGGGTTCCGGAAATTACCCATTTTCAGAATAAATAATCACGTGACCAAAAAAAATATTTATGCTATAAAATTTTCCCGATATGGCTCTATATATGTGTGAAGTCACACTAGTGTCCCTTCAACGGTTCCCGAGTTATCGCCAAATTCCGACGGCCAATACTTTTTGAGGATTTTTATATTTCAAAACTAATTAAATCATTTCATTACTTGTAAATGAATATAAATCATAGCAATAAATGTCTCAATTTGTCGGTTAATATATGCGTTCATATTTAGTGCAAAAATAGTTCAATTTATTCATAATGATTGTTGAACATTACATTAAACTATTATCTAATACTACCATCTAATATTGTTATCCATAACTTGATACATATTACTTTTACAAAATAAACTTTTGAAATAATTTGAATAAATATAAGAGTTTATCTTTTCAATGCAAGAAAATTTTCATTTGATTTTGGTGCATTTTATTTAATGTTAAACAATACACGACGTAATCCATAGCCATTCACCGAAACTACTGTTTGAAGAATTTGTCTCATATTAAGGCTTCGGGAAAGTAACAATATTTTCTTAATGAAAAGTTTAAATTATATTTTTAATATGAAGCAATAATATATTTTATATTGTGTCTTGGCCATAATAATTGGTAACTATTAACCATTTTTCGGACGGCCGTTCATTGACTTCCAGTTAAAAATGGCTGCATTGAGAGCCATAGAAGTGAGTGATGTCTATCCCGACCACTACTTTTATTTTGCAATTTCTGTCATAAAGGACTGACTGCAGAGAATGATTAAAACAGTCATCCCATAGAGGGATAACAGGAGTATATTTTAGGTCTGAGAGAAATTATAATAAAAATTTATTTATCTTAGTTTTGCTGAATTTCCAAAAATGGGGTCTAAAAAATAGGCTAAAAATGGCTATATTTTGGGTATATGTGTTTTTACCGGGTCGGGGAATCTTCCCAATAAGTTTTAAATATTTCCAACTAGTTGTACGGAGTAAGCTTAAATATATTAACAATACCATATATAAAAATTGTGAATCAGATTTACCCCGGTTTTTTACCGCCGTATTTCCCATTTCACGGGGTCGGCGGGTTCGGGTGCGGTCTTTGATGTCATGATTACCGAATTTAACCCTTTTGAGCACATCATGTCATTGGTTGATAGACAATACATTGATTAAGACTAATATATTGTTTCCGTAGGTCTATTGTGTAATATCCAAACCACCGTATCTCTCAACACATATCCGTACAGAGCATATTTTGTAACAATTTTATATTCAACTGAAGCCAGCCGAAAAACGTATTTAGAATGTTGCGGTTTTAAGAAAGACGACATGACAACGCCTGATACATCAGTAGAATATCGGCAAAAATTGATTTCATGGGAGAGTGGCGAAAAGCATATTGGAAAACTTTGTGAATTGGAGGGAAAATTACATTTGGATTTATGCTCGCAACC